ATTTCCCTCCTCCAAATTTTACTATTATAATTATAATCATTCAAAAGATACGAGTGAAAAGGGGACTTTTGGCCAACACAGTATATTAAAATGTTTGCAAACTTTTGCCAAGACCACATTTGACATTTTTCATGTTTCGTTTTCTTTATGTTTATGCTTTTTAATCCTACCATAGAAAAACATATCCCAATCCATTATGTTGCATTCTTCTTCTTTAAGTTCCATCTTCTATCGAAGGTTGGAAATTATCATGGCTATGTATACTCTGTTGACTGCCGCTCTAAAAAGTTCTGCACTACTGCATTCAAAACTGCACTATGTTGCATTGTCTTAACACAATTTAAAGCAGCAGATTATTTTGGATTTAAAACTGCTACGTTTAAAATAATAGTTCTGATTGAAAATAAACTGTTCATCATTACTTGTATTTTATTATCATCATCAACATCGTTTCTTAATCAACTAACTAAAGTATAGTAAAGTATAATCTTGTATACTTCAACAAAAACGTAGGCGACATTCTTGCTTATAAACACTTAATCACTGTAATAATTATTGTACTATTTTTTTCTGGATTTGCTATAGAACTTATATATATTTGTACTAGTTCAATAAATAAATATATCGTAACTATATCCTAAAAGAATGGTACAGTAGGCGGTACAGTAGACTAGCGCGAAGCTGCACACTATGTTTTCTGTATTTTTTAAATTTAAAAAATGTTTTACAAATTGAATAAAGCTTTTTACTATTTATTTTTTAAACGAATTTTGATGGTACACAAGGCAAATATCGAACACAGTAGTTAATCAAATCTTGCCCAAGTACTTTCGATCACAAGATCATCCTCATGGGCATTTCATCAGTTGTGGCCTATCCAGCAGTAATAGTTGGGACATAACAAATACACTAAACAAAGACAAACAAACACTTTAAAATTTAAGAAATGGAGAAGCTACATTTTATATAGAAGCCGGAGACAGAACCATCAAAGTTCATTTATTCGAACATTCAACCTTATATTGATTTATTTTTTACTTATATTTAAAAAAAAATCTAGTGTATTAAAATAATTCAATAAATTATTATGTTTACGCCTAAGGTCACCTATTAACGTACAAACAAAGCGTGCGTTGTTTACTTCTGCCGGCCTGTCAAATTCAGACGAAATATTTAATTAATAATAAAATAAAATAAATATCATTTGATAATAAATTTAATCAATATATCGCTGTCCCAGTGGAACATTGGCGTAGCTGCAAATTTATCGAAAATAAGTTTATGTCGTCATTGGGTCCAAACTTAGTTATAGCATTCGTCAGATCACTGCCAAACGTGTTGTTTAGCTTTTATCCGCCAGGGAGCAAATGCGTCATATTTGAAAAATCAGCCCAATGAATCAGCCGATCTCGGAGAAACAATAACAGAATGTATAAATACCTACGGCCACAGAATGATAAACAATCGGAATGCCCACTCTTAGATGCCGCCTTTAAAGTTTTTCAGCACGCGCGCCATGTTTTAGAAGGAAACAGACCAGACTCGGATTGAGAATCACATTTGGTGTAATGGGTCTTTATCGACATATATGATTTGTGAGGTTATGTAATTGTTTATATTTATGTTTAATTATATTATATTTAATTATATTTTATTTATATTTATGTTATTGTATAACGTTAAAATAATTGTATAGTATGTCTATGATTGCCGTAAGTCAATTAAACCGGGTTAATTTTTCTATGCACACCACATAAATTTTCATTAAACACTGGTTCCCTTTAAAACATGGCGGAACGTCTGCGCGAACAAGATGCGCGTACTTAATTTTCCATGGAGAGTGAGCATTCTGATTGTTTATTATTCTGTGCTACAGTGTGACATTGACGCAATTTTATTTTATGGTATTGTCATCGAGCAAAAAGATAAAAGAGGGAATCTAATCGTTATGAAAAGGAGACCAAAAAAGTGGCCTCTGATGGCGGACATATCCGGAAATGCAAAGGCGCTAAATTTAAATTTTCCAACACTTGTTAACAATACCTGTAAAATATTTTTCAGACAAGAAAGTTTTAATTAAATATTAACGATAATAGTCTAAAAAGTGACATAATTGGTAAAAAACTTCAATATAAATAAAATTTCATGTGACAGTTGGGACAAACAATAACATAACCAAACTAAATTTGACTTCTTAAACAAGGAAAGAGACTGTCTTTCCTTGTTTAAAGTGGCCTCTCAAGATAGCACTTCCTGTCTAACAATATTTTTGTCCCCACTACCTTTACATTCCCTCTTTTATCTTTTTGCTCGATGGGTATTTTTGCTCAAGGTTTTTCACAAATACGTGGAAACATTGACGTAACTATATTCTGTCTCATTTTTTATTTGGATTTTTCCTTAGTGTGAGGCAACATTGACATAAGTGCATTTAATGTAAGTAAAATACACCATGATCACCAAATACCAACACTTGATAATGCTCTCTTAGTCAAGAAGAGAAAAAAAGACAAAGGAATGTGGATACTTGGTTGAAAGAAAAGAGGAAAAGACTAAAGAATTCTGGACAGGGGTATACTTCTAGAACAGGAAAACCTGTAGCTGCTAAAAAAATGGAAACTGTGTGTACCGACAAATGCCGTTTGAAATGTCCAATAGGGTATCTGAAAAGCTAAGAGAGACACAGTTTAAAGAATATTGGGCATTAGGGTCCTTGCAAAGACAGCGAGACATTTTGGCTTCTTGTATTCAGCCACTTGAGTTGAGCTACCGACGTATTTCTACATCAAAAACCACTCCCAAGAAATACAAATTGTGCATTTTTCATTACAGGCAAGGGAAAACAAAAACGGTTATGTAAAACGTTTTTCATTAATACTTTTGAAATAACTGAAAGAGCTATTCGCTCTATAATTAAAGCAGTTTCAAGTGAAAAAATACTATTATACCAGAAGATAAACGTGGGAAGTACGAGAGTCACAAGAAAATAAGTGACAAAATTTTGGATTCTGTTCGTAGCCATATAAATTCAATTCCACGAATTGAAAGTCACTATCTTCGAAGTGATTCTTCGAGGCAATACATAGACGGTGGTTTAATTATTGCGGAACTTCACAGGAACTATATAAAGGAACGAAAAGAAGCAAAAGAAGAAGAGTCAGCAACCTACGATTGTTATTGTCGTATTTTCAACAGCGAATTTAATATAGAGATTTTTTATCCCGAAGAAAGATCTTTGTGACCAATGCGAATCTTTTAAAAATGCCGGAGCAGAAGAAAAAAAAAGATAAGCAAACAACCATTGAAAGTCACTTAGAGGAAAAGGATCTAAGTCGTAAAGAAAAAACTACGATAAACTGAAAACAAAAAATTCTGATAACAATATACATCTGGCTACTTATGATTTACAAGCAGTGTTACCTGTACCAATAGGACAAAGTTCTGCATTTTTTTACAAATTTCGCTTAAACTTTACAGTAGTAGAAGTAAAGGCGAAAAAAGACCAAGTCTCCGAAACAGATAGCACTTGTGAAATTGATAAAGCTAGCTGTTACTTTTGGAATTAAGTGATGGGGAATAGAGTCGCAATAGAAGGCCATGTGGAGGTCAACAAAAATAAATTTCTAATAGCCATGTATCTGTTTAGTGTCAATACTTTGGACATCAATTATATTACTCACAAGTACCTTGTTCGCGGTCACACCCAAAATAAGGTGGTTTTAAACCACAGCATAATAGAAAAAGTAGTTAAGAGAGCAACCAAATCAGGGCCCATATACATTCCTGAGCAATACGTTGAGTTAATTAGGAATGCTTAAAAAACCGGAACTCTTTTAACAGTTTAAATGGATTTCACTGAGCTTTACAATGCAAAAGCACTGTACAATGAAATGGGACTAGATTTCATCTACTTCAAGTGGAAACATTACTTCCTGTATAAAAAAGTTATAAACAATCAACGTGGACGAAAGTTGATGTTTTCCAAAAAAGAAGGGGTCGGAGTTCGTCGGAATTGTTTTCACATAAATGCCAGCTGCGTAGGGCTTACTCTTCAAAAATTCCTTTAGGTGATAACAAACTAAAAGATTTGAAACAGTTACTTTCAAAACATATAATTCCTGGATTTTGTAAAGCCTTTTACGATTAAATTTTTCGTTGATACTTTTTTTGCAATTTCAATTTTATTTTTAAGTTTCTTTTTATTAAAATTGTTTGCTTTTACTACAATTTTCGATTTGTTTAATAAACTTTTTCAATGACTTTTTGTGCTTATTTCGATGCCACCTTTCAAAACTAGCTAGGTAACCAAAAATTTTACAAAATGAGTATGTCTGTGGAAATTTTATCTTTAAAACTAAATTCTAAATTTTTCTTTCTAAAACTAAATTCTAAATTCTTAATTCTTCATCCTAAATTTGATCTCCAATTGCAATTAAGTCATTGTTGCCTCAGTGTTTTTGTGGCAACAATGACGTAATTATATATATATATATATATATATATAATATATATATATATATATATATATATATATATATATATATATATCCGGTTTTTTAAGCGTTACGCCCGTCTGGTAGGGATTTATGGAGGAGTATCACCGAGACGCAAGCCCTTATCTCTTGCCGTACTGCTCCACCATAGGCCGATCAGATCCCAGCATATTCTAGTCTAAGCCGCAGATTCATCTAGAATTTTAAACTGCTGCGTTAGACTTTTTGTTTTCTGTACACCGAGCTGGGGCTCGATCCCACATCCACTGAATCATTCGACAGTGAAGCGAATGAGAGGCAGCCGCACAGCCCGCTGAGCTATCTGACCGACACAATGACGTAATTGCAACTGGAAATCAAATTTAGGGATAAAAAATTAAGAATTTATTTCAAATGTGTAATAGAGTTACAGTATATTACGGTAGCTAAATATTTCTGCAATACTAATCCAGTAACTTTATTATGCTTCATTGAACTATATTCATAGAATATATAACAAATACTTACCAACTTCTCCTTGAGAATGACCACATATTCCATCGGGATAAATGTTTAGTGAGAATAAAACGTCCGTTAAAGCAAATTCTATGCATCCTATAGCAGAAATGCAGTTAGTAATGTCGTCAAACACTGATGGATCCTCACTTGTAATAATATTTATTAAATCGACCCCATAAGGCGCTAACACTTTAGCGCAACGGTTTATGGTGTTTTTAAAAACAGGGATATTCATTAAGTCTTTGCCCATTTGGTTCCACTGTGATCCCATACCAGTATATACGAACCATATTGGACGTTGTTTATTATATCGTTCAACTTCTTTAGTCGGGCTATCTCCCAATACTATATATCTACAGGAAAATATTATTAAATCATAAACAATTAAAATCAAGTATCTCATTTTTAAAATGACATTCAATATATATATATATATATATAATATATATATATATATAAATATATATATATATATATATGTATATATATAAATATATATATATATAATATATATATATATATATATATGTATCTTCTTCTTCTAGTTCCATGACCGTTATCGATCGTTGGATATCATGATGGCTACCATATTCGCTATCGTGACTTTATTGACAGCAGCTCTAAATAACGATGTAGTTGATTTTCCATACCATTGCCTTAGATTTTTCAGCCATGATGTTCTTCTTCTACCAGGACCACGATTACCTTGGATCTTTCCCTGAATGATCAGATGTAAAAGATCATATTTTTCAGGGTGTCTCATAATATGACCGAAGTATATATATGTATATATATATATATATATATATATATATATATATATATATATATCTGTGGTGTTTGGGAGAAACATGATAACTCCAAAATAGCGAAAATTTTGTTAAGTGCATCACTGCATTTTGTTTTTGATTTATTTTCGTTTGATCTGACTATGGTATGTCCATCACGTCTAGAAAACGTGCCACAGCTTGGTATAATATCGATAAGTCCCTATTATTCAAATTTTGTTTGGTATAGTCCTGTTAAAATATTATATCATGTACCCGAAAATAAAACTAGACAATAACGTTTTGGTTCATATCTGATAATTGGTACTTATCATGTCTAGATCAAATAATATGCAAATTATTTTGGTAATTTTATGCTATGTCCCACTTAACATCTTTGATTCAAAGAAATATTATATTTAAGTAGCATTTTCTGTAAATTTTTTTATGTAAGTGGTAAATAACATGTATATATCAAACTTTTCTTTTCGTTGTTTTGTATTATCATAATTATCATGAGCATTTGGTCGTATTCACGAACGTGTCGATCACATTGTGTTAGTGTTAAGGTTTATCTATGGCTATTAAGTTACACTTAGTCAGTAAGTCAGTTTGTCTAAATCTTTCAAAGGCGAATGACGCAGTAAATGCGATCGAGTAATTTGGCAAACATGGCTTATAATACAAGTTCTCGTATTACAAAAATAATTGAGATGTGTTATTAGAAAATGAACAGTCGTCTTCTAATAATGTAAGTATTTTAATGTTTAATTTTATGTGGTAAATAATTGCTTAATTTTTGTGTACAAGAATATATAAGAATGTATAACAATACTTATATTTGCATTTATTGTATGATTTATAATAAATTTTATTTTTTTAGGTAAGCACAGGTGTTACTAGCAACATTTTGGATGACTCGTTTCTCACTAGTGTAGAACTGGCTGAATCAGCTTCATATCCAGGCCCCTCTGGAAGTAAAGAAAATAATTTGCACGTTTTAAAACCAGCACTATTTTCACCAGTAAATCTTGAAGAAAATACTCATCTGCTGAATGTATTAGCGTCTGAAGTAACTCCTGATGATGATTTTAGTTCTGGATCTAGCGATTTGTGGGAACCATCAGATTCTGAACATGAACATGGAAACGCGGATTCCGAAGACACTCAAAACGAGTTAGATGATGTCTGTCCTTTGGCGCAAATAACCGCAAAAAAAAGAAAAAAGGGCCAGGGTCCAATGCAACGGAAGTTAAGAAAAAGTCGTTCTGATAAAAAAAGAAAGGGTGAGGAATACATTACTGCTAAAGGTAAGAACATTTCAGCTAAAATTTCGATACCTGTGTCCACAAACTGTCGAGCAAAATGTCATGAAAAGACTGCCTCTGTTGATCTAAAGCAAATTTTTAGAGACTACAGAAACTTGACAACTAGGGATACACAGAAACGTTATTTGGCTAGTTTAATAACAGTAAAACCTAAAGAAAGGACACGCCGTGGTAACTCAGTCAAAAATAGGCAATTTACAGTTCTTTATAAGTTGGAGAATATGGATGGTAATATCTGTAAATGTTGCTTTTTGAAAATATTTGGCGAAACCAGAGGTTTCTTAGATGACGTTGTTAAAAAAAAGAAAGCATCTCCTACTTCTATCATACTCAAGTCCGATTTAAGAGGTATGCAGCCGTCAGGTAACAAGCGCTCAGAAGCAGATATCTCATTTGCTCGAAATTTTATTAATATATTTCCAAAATATGAAAGCCACTACAGTAGAAGTCACACTTCAAAGCAGTATTTAGGGCAAGAATTAAATTTACAAATCTTATACAGGCTATATAAAGAAAAATGCAATGACACAAAATCTAATGCAACTGACGCCCCCTTGAGTTTAAGTGTTTTTCGAAACTTATTTAAAAATCTTAATTTAAAGTTTAAGAAGCCATCTAATGACACTTGCAAAACCTGTGATTCATTATTTCTGAAAATAAAAAGCTGTGCCTCCGAAGAAGAAAAACAAAGATTAGAAAATGAACGCCAACAACACCAGGATAAGGCTTCCTTTCATTATACAACAAAACAAGGCGAC